TGACACATACAGATTAAAGTCGATCTGAGGCATTCTGCGTTAACAATTCAAAAGCCTCTGGCGTTTGCCTTTTTGTTGCTAACTTAATTGACTATTGGCTGCTTGGTGATTGAGTGTCCTGTCTGCAGGACTCGAGGTTGTCGCTTGGCTAGCCATGCCTTTCAGTTTTAGCAACATGTCTCGTTGCAAACATTAGACAAAAGCTGGCTAGCAAGCCAGCTGGCAGATACCCTGTACTGTCATTTGACTGCTTGTCAAAATACTCAGCTTCTATATAGAGGGTATCTGTGCCTCGCTTACTTTTTCAGTTAGCCAGCCATGTGCTTGTCCTTGTCATGCAATTAAGTCGAACCCACAGCGACAGCCAAGGCAGCCAGCTGACATCCATGTCGTTGAGATGATGATGAAGATGACGATGACGACTTGACTTGACTTGACTTGACGTAACTTGACTTGAGTTGTGGTTACTGCCAGTCCCCGTTCCAGTCTCAGTCTCAGTTCCAACTCCATTCACAGGCGCAGTCGAAGTTGCATTTGCAATTGCTGTTTGCCTAAAGCCCAGCAAAGTGTTTTCCTAGTTGGTGGAGCGGTAAATGGTCGGGCTGTCGATATTGTCATGTATTTTTTTTTTTACTCCTCCGAATATGCGCACACAGACAGACAGACAGAGAGAGAGAGAGAGAGAGAGAGAGAGAGAGAGCGAGAGGCGGGGCATAGAGACTCTTGTTCACGGCAGGCAGGTGGAAATTTTGCCAATTAAAGTTTGTTTTAATGAAGCAACTTACTTAGTTACCTACTTATTGTTGCAAGTAATGCAAATGGAGCCGTAGCCAACTGCCTAGACGTCTACTGCAGCGCATGCTGCAGTCTGTGCTGCCGCACTTGCTCCTAATCCTGCTCCAGTTGCCGCATCTTTATTCACTTTGGGCAAACAACAAACATTCTTGTGCCAACATCTCAGCTTACTAGCCAATTTACATTGGCAGCGCAGCATGTGGTTACACATTGCCGAAATGTGACTCTATTTACAGTGGAGTACTCCGAGTCGTTAACAATATTTAATTTGTCAGTGTCGAGTCTATGGCATCAGCGTAGTTACTTCATTTTACTACAGGTTAGACTAAGATATGCAGCTTGACTTACAGCTTGCGCTGTGTGTCTCCAACCTACTTGTTCACTAGGGACACAGTAGGCTGAGCATTGTAATAAATAAAGAGAGAATTCTGATCAAGTGACCTTTTCCATTGCTTTCCCTTTTGTGAGCATAGTCAAGAGTCAGATCAAGCCACTTCACTGTGCAGCTAACGTCAAAAGCAGCAGCTTCTGAAGCTTTGTCTTTGACGCCAGCTAAAGATAGCTTTTTTTAGAGCTTCGAGTTAGCAACACTGTTTAATTTGGCAACTGATTTAATAGTTAGTTTCTTTTTGTTGAATTTAAGTAAGCATTATATTATAATCTGTAAGCACTAGAGCAACGCTAGCAAATTGTTGTTATTTTGTTTATCGATTTGATGGCAGCTGTAGCCACATGTTCAAAATCATATTTAAACATTAATGTCATATAATTTTCTAACTAATAAAGCTCGTTTTGTTGATATTAGAACTTTATATTTTTTGTTTTATTATAACTTAAACTTGCGTAGCTCTAGAAAAAACACAAAATGTTTTAAGTTGTGCTTGCTTTGATTCACAAGTTTAGTCTTAAATTGGAGTCCAATAAAACAAGATCAAGCCTCGCTAATAACTGTAAATTTAAGTTTTATGCACATTTCAGCTAATGACATTATCCATAGTAATATTTGTTTATAGCTGCAACTTTTTAATCTCAAAGGCACAAATTGTTTACTTAACACTCAAGATTAGGCTAATGTTCAAGAAGCTAAGACTCGTTATTGTTACTGATGTCCAAAGATTGCTGTCAAAGTTAGCTTGATGTATGACAATTTGTAAATATAGTAATACAAGCTGCTATTGAATCAATTTTGAAATGGACTATGGGCGCGTGTGAGTGTGCGAGTGGGAGTGTGCGAGTGTGAGTGTACGAGTGTGTGTGTGCATCAGACTGGCAGACAGCTTGTAGCTTGAGTTGCTTTTCCATTGTTCGGGACTGCTTGGCTGCAACTGTAGAGCATATCTAGTTGCACACAAAGTCTCTAAGATATACATTTTATACAGCAAAGGCGAGTTGCGAAGGAGAGAGTGGGAGTAGGAGAGAGAGAGAGAGAGAGAGAGAGAGAGACAAATGCAGGCAAACAGCGCTTGAATTTGGGTTATGGCAGGTGCGAGCTTGTCTGCTCGCCTCGTAGGTGTGCCTCTGTTGGTGTGTGTGCGCGGGTGTCTGTGTCTAGCGGCTCCTGTGTGTGTGCGTGTGTATACATATATACGCGGCTAATTAAAATTCCGCGTTGCATTTAATGTCGTTGATGAGAATACGTGCTCAATGTCAGCGGAAATGTCCATTTCATTAAAATTTTCTAAAGAAAAAGAAATGCTGATATAAATACATATATGTATGTATGTATGTATGTATGTAAACAAGCAGAGTTCGCTCGTGTGGGACGGGGGCAAGGGAAACACTGAAGCCACAAAGCACCTGTGCAGCAGCCCAACCCCCTCAATAAAGCACAAGTTTTTGTCATAATTTATTGTTAAATTTCGTTGTCATTTATTATATTTAGTTCTTGTTGCATTCAATACAATATTTGGTTTTTGTTTATAATAATTTCATTTATTGCATTTGTGTTTTATGTGAATTCTGTTTGCTTTTGGCTTTCAAGTTCTACGTAAGACTAGAACTATTGTGAGCGTGTGTGCGAGTGTGTGTGTGTGAGTGTGTGAGTGTGAGTATGTAGCTCTGCCAAAGGACCGCAATGTTATTTGGCCTGCAGCTCAAACACACACACACACACAGAGACACATACACATACATACACATTATTGCTGCAGAGCATTTGGTAAGCTTTGTAATGCATAGATTTACTCTTAAAGTATTTTTTGTATTTTTGTATTTTGTCTTTTTTTTTGTTGGTATTTTTTGCATTTGATTCTTAATTTCAATTTTTGATTTTTGTTTTGTGTTTAGCATTTTGCGCAGCTATTTTGAGATAAGTTTGCCATCCTTTCTGTTGACTAACGGGTATTACAGGGTATCGCCATTTGCCACCTAAGTATGCTATGCTTTTCGATTCCAACTGGAGCCCGAGTGACGAGCGGACGTCGTCAAGGTAGGGACTATGCATTAAACATCTTTGATTTGATTTGTTTTCGTTCTTCTTATTGTTTTTGCTAATGTTTAGTTGCTATCATTATTTGCATTTGTGTTGCTTCTTCTTCTCCTGCTGTCCATTATGTAATTCTGTAAATGTTTTGATTTTTCTCTGCCTGTTTTGCACTTTAGATCTCGCATGGCCATAAAGTAATTGGTTATACTGCGCCCCGCTCTCTGTCTCTGTCACCTAAATATGTTTTGCTTAAATGTAAATTGCTTTCGATTTGTGTTTACTCGTATTATAGCTAAACCCTTGACTAAAGTTATTCATTTATGTTATGTAAGTAGTATGTCAAAAAATTTGCATTTATTTATTGTATTACGAAATTATAAATACCAAAGTAAGAAGAGGAAAAAACGTATTTCTTGCATTTTAAAAATGAAACTCTTTGAGTTTTTCTCTTTTTTCCCATTTTTTTTGCATTTTTTTCCTTTGGTTTTCTCTTTTGGTTGTTGCTCGCTTAGCCTAGTTGAATTTCGATATTTGGTTTAATTGTTATTAATTAGTTGTAATATGTTGCTCTTGCAGTTTAATGCTACTCGACCAGAGATTGCTAAACTCATTCGTTTCCCCGTTGCTATTTACTTAGTGATTCTTACTTACCGCGCTGCTTCGAAAAAAAATGTCTTTCGTTAATTCTAAGTTTTTCGTTTGGGCTCGAAAAAAAATGTGAACAACACCAACATTGATTACAGTTGTGTTGTCAGTGCCCCTCTAAGCCCTAAATACATATATGTTCTATGTGTAGCTGGCCTTAGCTTTAGCTGCGACATTTGTCATAGTTTTTTTCTTTTATTTTATTTTAATATTTTTATCATTACACTTAAAAACAGATTTTTTCCTTTTTTTTTTGCTATTTTTGTTGCTTTTCATATTTGAGTTGAGTTTTCATTGTGTTCCAACTTTTATTTACATTGAAAATGGTTTACTCTCTGCATTATTACATATATATTTATTTATGTTTATTTATTTAATTTTTTTTTTTGTTGGATTTTTTCCTTCTATGTGAAATTGTCATAACTAAACGAACGTTGAACGCATCATGATGTTTATTATCACTAACCTAGTTTTTGTTTTCTCATCTATTTTTTGGAAGTTGCTTTTTTTTGGCTTTTTCAATTTTTTAATATTTCGATTTTTTACTCATAAATAAATGCATTTTTTGGGCCACATTGAAAACATAAAAAATGCTTTGACATTTGCTCCGATTGAAAAACTTTTTTATGCAAAATGAATTGAACGCCACATCGTATTATATATATGCGTCTGCATATCTGTGGGATTCGCGTGGGTGTTTATGGCGGATCATGTGAGTGCAGCGCCCCGCCACATGTTGAGCCAGTGTGGTAAAATGAATTATTTGAATAACCTTTTGAAGCACTGCTTCGTTTCGTAATGCTCGTCTGATTGAGTTGGTATTGTTCGAGCTTATAAATATGTATATATTGCTCTGATAATGATAATGCTCTGGAGTGGCGCGATTAATGATTGCAATTGAGAGAAAGTCTTTCAGCATATATTTATAATATGCAACATTCTGAAGTGCACTGCAAGCGAATGCAATCGAATTGTTTGAATGGGAGTGCGACTAACAAGACGCTCAAATGGTTCGTATTGAGCACACGCCCGCTGCCATGTAGCCCCCGATGGCCCCATTGTTGGGCGATGAGCCGCCTGATGGTGGTTGTTGTGGCTGTGATTGTTGTGGGGCGCATTGTTCGTGGCGATGTGGCTACGGCAACAATGCTGCCCGCTGCATCGCCGTTTTCCACAACGAGACCCGCAATGCCCATGATGGGGCTGCGGTGCCCGACTTGGCCATGGCCAAGGGTATGCCGCCAATGGTGTGGTTGCTGTGGTGGTGGTGTGTGCCGGTGCTCAAGCTCGTGCCACTTATATGCGCACTGATACCGCTCGGCACGCTGGCCATGCCATGTGCGCCACCTGCTGACACTGTTGCTGCCGAGGCGGCGGCTGCAGCGGCCGCAGCGCTGTTGACGCTGGCAGCGGTGCGCGTCAGCTCCTCGTTGGGTATGGAGAAGTGGCGATAGGAGATGTATTCGGGCGGCATGGCCCGCCTGTCGCTTGGCATTCTCGATGCGCTGCTTCTTGAGCTTCACGTAGCTGAGCACCGAGATCATCACAATAAACACGATGATGCCCAAGCAGCAGCCGACAATCAGACCCAGGCGACGCGTCAGTATCGAAGTGTATAAATCCGTTGCTGGACAAGCCGTTCTCATCCGTAATTAGGCTGGGCGTGGAGTCCAGCGTCTGGACATCGGTGCAGGCCGAGATATGCGAGTTCTTGAGCACCTCATGCAGCGCCTTGTCCGTCACAATGCTGTTCTCAATCAGCGCCTGCTGCTGCTGCTCGTGGATGGCGCCGTTCATATGCTGATACGGCGAATAGCTGTCCGGCATGGAGGGCAGGGCGGCCGCCAGTGGCACATCTCCAACAGCTGTCATGCCGAGCAGCAGGTCGTCCCGCGACTCATTGTAGTGCAGCCTTTGTAGCGCATTGGCCAAAGGCTCCGAGAGCCAATTACCCGTGCCGATGACGCAGATGTGATAGCGCGTGTTGGGACTCAATTTCGTTAGCTTTGTTGAGCTGGCCGTGCCGTTTAGCCGCTTGCCGTGTATCTACGGAATAAATTAACCAAGTTTTCAAGATAATTATTGCGATGCCAACCTCAGTCATGTACTCAATATGCCCCAGTCACCAATTCCCCACGACATCATCGTCATCCCCGTCATCATCATCGTCGTCGTCGTGCCGTTTTATTAAAATTTTCTGTCGTGGCCTGCGGCCGCAATATGACTAACTGACCTGGACAATGGGCTCGATGCTCGGCTCAATTAGAATAGAAAATTTTTATAGAACAATAGCAAATGCAGGCCAGAGCTCAGCGGCCCAAAGCATTAGCTAAAAATAGTTGCTGAGCTAATCTTAGTCAACTATTTGACAGGAGCCCGAAGGATGATTTCTGTGCACATTTGATGCCAGCTGCGCCCACTGTGCTGGCATCTTAGTTAGTTGAGGACCCGGGGCAACGTGATGCTTAAATTAAATTTTGTATGCACAAAGTTGCGCAGTTTATCGCCGATCGAACGAGGCCACATGGCGTCGCCTGGTTCGCGCAGACCGCTAAGCGTTGATTAAGCGTTTATTAAAAGAGAATTACGGGCCGGGGGCCAAACAGGACAAGGGCTGGAGCAGCAGGAGCAGGAGGAGCAGGAGTACACTTGGTCATCACGGCATCGAGTGCTTAACATCAGATTTCTTTTAAATTTGTGCGTCCTCTGTCAGTTAGTCTGGCTGGTCTGGTTGAGCAATCATTGGCCACTCACCTCATCCGTGGCAGCAAACTGGGCCAGACGCTCCCTCTCTCTGTCGCGCTCGAGCTCGTTGTGCTGGCGTGGCAAATCGTAGTCCCGGTCGCGTTCGGCAGCCATATCCCTATCCCTATCCCTGTCCCGCTCTCGATGATTGTCCGCTCGGCCTCGGGTGTCGTCGCGGTCGGTTGGTGCCGCAATGAGTCCATCGCCGGTGGCGTGGTAAACAATTTCAAAGCCAGTGAGGCCCAAATGGTCGCGACTCTGCCAGGAAACGACCACCGAATAGGGCTGTATGTCCTGTATGGCCATTTTGGGTATTAATGGGGCATCACAAAATTGCTGCGGCTCCATGCGACCAAACACCTTGCCGCGCAGCTCCGTTGGGTGTTCGCACCTCAGATAATTAATGTTATCGCCGCCCGTCGGCGATAGCGACCATTTGCGATGATCCCGCAGCCATTCCCAGAGCTTTTGTGCATCGCAGCTGCAATGCAGTGGATTCTCTGTGTGTGAACGAAATACAAATGAAAATGCCATCAGAGTAAGCACCAAATTAGCTAAAGGACTGTGAATTTACGGCTGGTTAAACGCTGCAGCTGCAGCTGCTACTCACCCTCCAGCTTCAATGTACGCAGATTCGTTTCGAGTGGCCTCAGCGGCTCCAGTGGCACCAGCTCAAAGTAGTTTTTCCGCAGATCGAGCAGATGCAATTTGCGCAAATAGCGAAAGCCGTCGTTGGATAGAGCCGTCATGCGATTGCCCATCAGCAGCAGCTCGACGAGGCCGTGCAGATTGCGGAAGGTCTTCTTGGAGATGCGATCCAGCTGATTGAAGCTAAGGTCCAGCGTCTGCAGCTGGCCCAGCTCGCTGCTGAACTCGTCCAGATCCTTGAGCGTGTGTGCGATATGTTGAGCAGTCGCAGCAGTCGCAGCCCCTGCAAACGCTCCTGGGCAGCATTTCCAGCTCGTTGACGCTGATGTCCAGGGTGAGCAGATTCACCAGCGACCTGAAGGCCCCAGGCGAGATGCGTGTGATGCGGTTGTTGACCAAATGCAGATGCTGCAGCGCCTGGAAGGCTTCAAAGTCCTTCGATGTGAGTATGGAGAGGTTCGTCTGGCAGATGTACAGCTCCTTGAGATACAGATAGCGCTCCTCCTTCACCGTATAGATCTTGTTTATGGGATTGCCGGTCAAATTGAGCCAGGACAGCCGCGGTATAGACCCGTCCGACAGCGCTGAGCTGGGTATCTGCAGGAACCGATTGCTGGACAAGTCGACGCGTTGCAGATTGATCGAGTGCCGCAGAAAGTTGGCCGGCAGCGAGAGCAACAGATTGCCGCTGAGATCCACGTTGTCCAGCTGGGTTAGGTTGACCGCATTGAAGCCGCTCAGCGAGTTGATCTTATTGTCGCGCAGCACCAGCTGCCGCAGATTGAGCGTGCCGCTCAGCTTGAAGAAATCAATGGAGTTCAGCTGATTCTTGGCCAGATCCAGTGTCTCCAGCGTGCTCAGATTGTACAGGGCAATGTGTGGGAACTCGACCAGATTGTTGCGGCACAGACGCAACTCCTTAAAGACGTTCAGCCCATTGAAGATGTTGCGATTCATCTCCACCAACTGATTGTCACACAGATCGATGCGCACCAAGTTCGTGTTCTTGGCAAAGAGCTGATCGGGTATGTTGCTCAAGCTGCAGTTGGCCATCGACAGCTGCTGCAGGGAGCGCAGCTTATCGAACATGCCAGACATGATGCCGCCCATGCCGCCGCCAATGCCCACATGGCTGAAGTTGTTGTGCGAGAGATGCAGACGCCGCAGGCTGGGCACGTCCAGCTTCTGTATGTCCGCCGGGTTGAGCTGATTGCGCTCCAGATTGAGCTCATTCAGATTCTGCATGGACTTGAACGTGTGCTGCTCCAGCTTGCGCAGCGAGGTGTTGCGCAGATTGAGCGTGCTCAGCGGCAGCTCGTCCAGAAATATGTCTCGCGTCAGCTGCACCAGCGGATTGTGTGAGAGATCCAGCGACTTGAGCTGCTTGAGCCGGCTAAAGGCGTAGCCCTCAATGGCCTCGATCTGATTGTGGGCCAGGCTCAGCTCCTCCAGGCTGTGAAGCGTTGCGAAGTAGTCGCGGCGCAGCTGACGCAGCTGATTGCCGCTCAGGTCGAGAAACTTGAGCAGGCCCAGGCTGACGAAGGTGTCCTTCTCGATTTCGCGTATGCGATTGTTGCTCAGGTAGAGTCGGCCCAGGTGCGGCGTGTCCACGAACAGCGATCGATCGATCTTAACCAGCTGATTGTCCCGCAGCCACATGATCTGTATGCGCTGCTGCTGCCGGAACGTGCGCTGATGGATCTTGTGCAGATAGTTCGCCTCCAGCTGTATGGAGAGCAGCGAGGAGTTCTGCTCCGGAAATATGTCCTCCAATACAGTCAGCTGATTGTCCTGCAGATTTATGTGCTGCATGTTGGCCAGGGTGTGGAAGGCGCCGGGCTCAATGTCCTCGATATTGTTCTTTTGTATGTGCAGCTCCTGCAGCGCCGGCAGCGGCTCGAAGACGCCCTTCCTCACGCGCCGTATGCGATTGTTGTGCAGGCGCACCTCACGCAACTGCTCCAGCTTGCGGAACATGCCGATCTCCAGGTCTTGAATCTCGTTGTTGTCCAGCGAAAGCGACGAAAGCTTCGTGCACTTGTCGAACAGCGTGACGGGCACCAGGGGTATGAAATTTGACCGCAAATACAGGTGATCCAAGTTGGCCAAGGTGCTGAACACATTGGGATCAATGTGCGCAATGCCGTTCGACTCCAGATAAATGACATCCACATTGGTCGAATTGGTAAACGCGTCCGCGGGCAGCTCCAGTATATTATTCTCGGACAGGAAAACCTCGCGCAGCTGCGGCAGATTGGAGAACACCCCACTGATGGCGTGTATGTGATTGTGGCTCAGATCGACCGTCTGCAGGCGCTTGTTCTTGTCGAAGACCTTCGGATCGAGCGTGATGATGCGATTGTGCGACATGTCCAGCGACATGAGCTCCTTGAGGCTTCTGAACGCTTCCGGCTGCACGATCTCGATCTGGTTGGCGTAGAAGGACAGCGTCTTCAGCTGCGGGAACGCGCGAAAGCAATCGTGCGCAATCTCGCTAAACTGATTGGAGCTGAGATCCAGCAGTATCAACGAGGGCAGCTGCAGAGCAGCTGCTGTCGCCGCTGCCGCCGAGGCGTTGTTTGTGGCCAGCTGAATGTCGCCATAGAAGGTGGATATCTTGTTGTTGGAGAGCCGCAGGATGCGCAGATGGTCCAGCTTGCGCAGCGCCATCATCGGAAACGTGCGCAAGCCATTCTCCGACACGTCAATCTCCTGCATGCAGTCCTCCAGTCCGGCGAAGCCGTGCTCCGGTATGGCCTGCAGCCGATTGCCCTTGATGTTCAGCTTGGAGACGCGCAGCCCATAGAAGCTGTAGTCCTCGATGCGCACAATCTCGTTGTAGTCAAAGTCCAGGGCGCTTAGCTTCTGCATGGAGCTCAGCGCACGCGAGGGCAGCTGCGGATCAAAGAGAATAGAAAAGGCTTAAAGCAGGTAAACATAACTAAAGCTGCATTCAATCTGGAGCCCAGGGATAAGATCATATTGAAATTTAATATGCATTATGAATGCCAAATGCTTAAGTCTGAAAGCCTCGCTGACCTGAAACCTGCTGGTTAAGAAACTCAGTAACTAAGCCTAAAATGGCCTAAAAACTAATGAAACTGAATACAAAATGTTGCCAATCAATAATCGAATTCCAGGTATTCAAAATAACAGATTATATTAAATGAATTTAAAATTTTGTTTCATTTCAGGCTTAATTGAATGCGACTTAAATTTAGTTTAGAGTTTTGCTGTTATTTGTTAAATATAAAATATGAAGAGTGTTTTTTATTTATTCTTTTTTTTTTTAATTTAAAGTTGTTAACATTTTAATATTCTTCATGCGTGTCATTTGTGTATTTTTTAGTCGAGCGAATTACATAAAAGCAAATTAGTATTAAGCGAAACTTGGCAGAATTGCGTCATTTTGCGGTTCGACTGTTCTGCAATATTGCATTTATAAAATATTTACAGTATTTTTTTATTCATTCATTAATTTGTTTGCACAAGTGCGACGTTTCACCTGTTTCGACAGGTGTCCCTTGAAATATCTGAGCTGCATACCTGTTCATATAGGATGTGCAGGTGACAAAATATTGAGCTTAGGCGCAGAGAACAATGGACACGAGCACCTGCTGCTTACGACTTGTTTACATTCATCAGCCGAAATGAGTTCGTATTTAATTGAAACATGTACTAAATCAATTTCATGGAATAAAATATGCAAATATGACATCATATGCTTTATAGCTCAACTGCTGAGAATATGTCAGGGATTGCTTGAGTTCCAGCCGTGGACAGCTACCGAAGCTGTGCCAATTGATATACTAATTATTTATATACTAATTATTTATATACCAATTATTTATATACCAATTATTTATATACCAATTATTTATATACCAATTATTTATATAATAAATATTTATATACCAATTATTTATATACCAATTATTTATATACCAATTATCTATATACTAATTATTTATATACCAATTATCTATATACTTATTTATATACCAATTTATATAATCTAATTATTTATATACTAATTATACAATTATATAACTACTCAATACACATCCCTTGACATAGCTGCAAATTGAGTGTAAGTCAAACACGAGCAGCAGCTCCTCCCGTATTTAGAATGCTTTTTTAATAAACTCGTTACTCATTTGATTATAATACATGGGAAGTGCACGGGTTTAGCGTGGGCAGCCGAGTGGTCAAAGTGGATATGGTTGCAACTTGTGTAGGCTCTCATTCAGTTCAATTGCGCAGGTTTAGCGGCGAGGGGTAGCGCCGACGCATGGGAAAGCGCAGCATGCTCTTCTCGAAGGGAGAGACGACGATGCGCTGGCCATCTATCTTGCCGCCGTCCATGTTCCTGAGCGCGCACTCGCAGTCCTCGGCATTGGCATACTCGACGAAGGCGAAGCCGCGGCCCGCGCGCGTGTAGCCGCCGCGATAGAAGTGATCAATGGGGAAGTCGACATTGGTCAGGGGACCGAAGCTGCCAAAGATCTCCACAATGTGCGTCTTGGTCACCTGGCGCGTCAGGCCCTTGATATGCAGGCGCACGGTCTTCAGATCGTCGTCTTGCAAGCGCAGCGGACTCGGCGTTAGATCTATGCTGCGACGTCGGTAGCTGATCGATTGAGTCGATGCGCTCGACAGCGAGCGGCGATTGCGCATCCGTAGACTCAGATCGGAGGGCGAGCGCCTCTCACGCGATCGTCGCCCCGATCGCGAACCTGAACGCCACTTCTTGGAGCGCGACGAGGAACGACTGCTCCCGCGACGGCTCTTGTTACTGGAATACCGTGCGACATGGTTATGACTCTTCTCCACAGGCACTGGCGTCGCATTCGATATCAGACGCAGCCGCTTGTCCCGTGATGGGGAACGCGACAACGAGTGCCGGATTTTGACTCTTGAGTCGTGCTCCGCCATGTACATGTGCAACTTACTCTCCGATTGGACCATGTCCTTGCTGGACTCGAGGCGCTGTTCGTCCTTTGAATCAGACTTCAGAACCTTCTCTGGCAGCCGCACCTTGCTGGACGGCCACGATGGCGTGGTTGGCTGTCTGTCCGTCTCCTCCCTGCCACGTGACACTGATATCCGGCGTTTTTCCTTATCCTTTGACGTTGGCTCCTCAATTACCGTTGGCAAGGCTTTCTTAGACTTGGTAGAAGGTGTCGAGATCGAGGTCGAGCCGCGGCTCTTTTCTTTTAGCTTGCCCTGCGACTCCTTCGAAGACGACTTTCTCTTCTTCGGCTTTGAAGGCTGCGACTTTGACGAGCGCTTGCTTTTGCCCTTCGACTCGAAGCCCGACGGCGTAGAGTGGGCGCGATGAGTGCTGCGACTCCGCCGACGCTTGCTGCATGGCACTGGCGACCAGATCTCCATTGGCCGCCGGCTTAGTTTTGGGGTAGCTGGTGTAGGCGCTGGCACCGGAGTCGAGCTGGGCGCAGGAACCGGTGTCGGCACGACGGCGGATACTGCGAACAGAGCTTGAACCGTTGCTGGTAACGGCGGTGGCACCGGCAGCGGCTCCGTGGCAGCAGCGCCAGCTTTCTTTCTGGAGCGATTATGCCTCCACTTGCACTTTGAGCTCCTCGAAGACTTTAGCTTGCGCGAGCGACGATGACGTCGCTTCTTTCTGTCAGACTCACTCTCCGATTCGCTGGACGACGAGGAGGATGAGCTGCTGGAGGAGCCGCTGGTGCAGCTGGTGGAGTCGCTGTCGCTATCACTGCTCGCCGATGACGCCGGCGACGGGGTCTTTATCTTCTTCTTGGCAACATTCGATGCCAAATTTGCCTTGGCGCCCGACTTCTTCTCCTTCTTATCCATCTTCTCCTTCTTCGACGATGGCTCACCATTGTTGTTACCTTTGTTGGGAGCTGCTCGACGCATTATGGGTAATGATTCGATCAAAATAAATGAAAAAAATTATCAATTTCAAGTTGATTTTGAAATTTTTACTTTACTGGCGCGCTGACGTTCGGCTTGTAACTGGACGAGACTTGCTCTGAAATGAAAAATGTTAGCCCAAGCGAACGGCAATCTCCAAGCACAATTTTCAATGCACACTTCGATCGCAAAATTTTCGGCCAATTGCCTAGCCGACGCAGCAACTAGCTTCAGTTGTCTTCTCCTTATGGATCCCAATTGAAGCCAATTAGAAAACGAGTGCGCACATGACTGCCTAATGCTGACAGCTGCACAGCTGTGAAAGCTGCAGTTTTACTCGCTTTGCCACGCCCCAAAGAGACATTGACATGTCCACTAAATTTTGTTGATCTTGGGCTGCCAGCGCAAGCATAAGAGCAGAGAGATACCTCGAGCCTTGTGGACAACTGCAGCCTCAAGCCAAATAGCTAGAGAAGACGTTTGTGATCCACATGCCTTGGCCCAAAACAATTTGCAACTCAATAGAGCGATATCGATACCTAGCAAATGCTCATAATTGCTTCTCAGCTATATTGATTTTTTGATAGTCTATTGACAGCTTTCAAATGTCTGTTTGAATTTGAATTTGAAGCCGAAACTCTGGATTGAAGACTCTCACAGAAAAAACTTTGGACTTGCATCTGGCATTCAAGAGATCTCCATATTTTGGCCACGTGTTCTGTTTCCTGTTAAGCACGCTCTCAGCATTTCACTTTGAACATAAATATTAAGGTTAAAGCCCATCATTTTGCTTGTATATAAATCAGGGCTGCTGTCCTAGTTACTCACATTGCCTTTCGGATGAAAGTCATTCCTGCA